AGATAGTTGGAGATCAGTTCGGTGGGGCAGGAGCAGGCGGAGACAATGGGTCGACCAGGGCATTCAGGTTTGTGGATTTTGGGAATGAGATAGAAGCGGGCAGTGCGAGGTTGGGGAACGATGAGGTTGGAGGCCGTGGGTGGGAGGTCACCTGAGGTGATGAGGTTGTGGATGGTTTGCGAGATGATGGTTTGGTGCTCGGGGGTGGGGTCATGATCAAGGGGGCGGTAGGAGGAGGTGTCGGAGAGTTGGCGTCTGGCCTCGGCGATGTAGAGGTCAGTGCGCCATACTACAACTGCGCCTCCCTTGTCCGCGGCTTTTATGGTGAGGTTGGGATTGGAGCGGAGGGAGCGGAGGGCTGCACGTTCTGCGGGGGAGAGGTTGGAGTGGGTGAGAGGGGTGGAGAGGTTGAGGCGATCGATGTCTCGACGGCAGTTGGAGATGAAGAGGTCGAGGGAGGGTAGGAGGCCTTGGGGTGGTGTCCAGGAGGAGGGGGTGTGTTGGAAGCGGGAGAAGGGGTCAGTAGAAGGAGGGTTAGGTTCACGGTTGAAGAAGTAAGTGTGGAGGCGGAGGCGGCAGAAAAACTGCTCTATGTCCAAGCATGAGCGGTATTCGTTGATCTGTGGGTGGAGGGGGACAAAGGTGAGCCCTTTACTGAGGACTGACCGTTCGTCCTCAGTAAGGTGTAGGTCTGGGGGGGATGGTGAAGACTCGGCAGGGCCGGGTGCTGTTGTCTTCTCTGGAGCTGCTGGCTGTGGAGGCTGTGAGCGGAGCAACGTCGACGTCGGCTGTGGGTGGAGTTGCGTCGCGGCGGCGGTGGGCGGAGTTGCGTCGGCGGTGGGTGGAGTTGCGTCGGCGTCAGCGGTGGGCGGAGCGGCGTCGGCGGTGGGAGGAGCGGGGTAGGCGGCGGCAGTACCGGTGACGGTAGTCGCGACTTCAGTGTTGGTGGCAACGGCAGCGATGGTGTTCGCTGTCCCGGAAGTGGGAAACCCGGTGGTGGCGGATGTGATGTCATCTGTGGGTTCCCCGATAGTGGCCTCATGGTCAATGGCGGCGGGCACATTGTGGGGAAGGTCTTGGGTACGGCTGGGGATTTGGGGGGTGGAGGAAGCCCGTTTTGGGTGGTAGGCACCAGTAAGTTTACTGTACTTACGGTTTTTAGTGTCCAATAAAGCTGAGTAGAATTGTGAGTTCAGGTTGTGGATCCTACGAAGAATAAAAAACAGGAGAGGTCCTTTGCAGGTCTGGGAGAGGGAGGCTCTGATCTGGGGTAGGCTTGATTGTAGTGTCTGGAGATGCCGGCGCATTGCTGCAAGTGTGTGTTTCAGGAGTTGCAGGGAGAAACACTTCTGAAGGATCTCAATGCCATGAGTGTAGATATTGTCATGGTTGGGGCCAAATTGGGAAGGCTTGAATGTAGATTGTAGTCCATTGAGGATGATCTGGTTCCGTAGGAAGGTGATGTGGCTGTAGTACCTGGTTTGCTTCAGGACATGGTTGAGCATTTTGTCCATAAAAGGAACTACATCAATGAATTATCTCCAACAACATACCACTTTGGATTTGGCAACTGTCAAGTGATGTGTTGCCTAGTAGATTTCAATAATCAATTTTTTAGACATAAATACTGGAGCTAACATTGACTGTTCTTTGAAATGTCTTGAGCGAGTCAGTCAGTTGAAGGTCAATTGGGATGGGCAACAATGTTTGCCCAGCAATGCTCTCATTCCATGAAAGAATGAAGAAAAAGAAAATGTCCTTCTCCAGATCTCATTTTATGTAACTGACTGATACATTGGCTTGAATGTGCTGAAGACCAGCAATCACTGTCAGGTTGTGCTGGTTAAAGAGTATAGGGGAGATGAGTGATTAAGGAAGTGGGGGAGGATGATGAAGTAAGGAGATAAGAGAACAGATGTTAGTAAATTAGGACATAGGGTGAAAGGTGGGTAGCGTGGGTTGTCAGGATTGAATTCTAATTTAGTTGTGTTCGGCGGAGCCGGAGGGTGGATGATACATAGAAACGTAGAAACATGAAAGACAGGAGCAGGAGAAGGACATTCGATATCTCAAGCCTGCTCTGCCATTCAATATGATCAAGGCTGATCATCAAGCTTAATACCCTAATCTCACCCTCCCCTCGTATCCCTTGATCCCTTTAGCTACAAGAACTATATTTATCTCCTTCTTGAAAACACATAATGTTTTAGCCTCAACCACTTTCTGTGGCAGTGAATTCCCGAGGCTCGCCACTCTCTGGATGAAGAAATTTCTCCTCATCTCAGCCCTAAAACCTTTACCATTAATCCTTAAATTATGACCCCTGGTCTGGATTCTCCCATTATCTTGAACATCCTTCCTGCATCTAACCTGTCTAGACCTGTGAGGATTTTATATGCTTCTAAGAGATCCTCCATCATTCTTCAAATGATCTGGGATTCGTTATTTTTATGTTCAATTTTGATTCTTTCCTATTTAGTTGTCTGATCTTGCAATCTAGATAACACCATACTCTTGTAGTGCTATACACTTGACCCTGTTCTGAGCACCCTGTCTGATCTTGTGCATGTTTTCAATCTCTCTGCCTCTATCCTGATCCCATCTAATGCATATGGTGCCTTATTTTGACAAGATAGGATGACATTACTGTGTGATAACTAAAATCCAAAATTCTAAAATTCAAAGTTTAAGGTTTTACTTTGAGAAAAGATAGAAATAACAGTACTTTCCAAATATTTTCTTCACTTGAATTAGTACTACTGACTGGCAAATTATTTGTGTTGTTTTACTTGTGTATTCCTTTTGCATTTGTCTAATCTGATGTTATTGAAATGTTCCTATGAAACTGAAAGTAATGAACATATTGTTTCAGAAATGAAGGATTCATTCCGAGCAACTATGTGACTGAAAAGAAATCGAATAATATAGAAGCATTTGAGTAAGTTCATTATATGGCTACTGTATTTGTATTTTGAATGGCAGTAAGGTCTTGTGACATTTGGCATTTAAGAGTGGACAATTAATAAAGTCTCATTCTTTGACCTAGATGCTTGGTGCTTTCAGCACTCTAGGATTGAACATTTGATGTTACAACCTCGTTACTGATGGCATATAGAGCCCAATCAGCTCTGAAGGGCCTTGCACAATATACTCCTGTGCTGCAATTATCAAAAAATGAAAAGCACTATGCAGGAAATTCGACTGACTCTCTACCCACTGGCTCAAAACATACTTTTAGGCCTCATTTCAATTGTTCCACTTCTACATACAGCTGAACAATTTCATGCAACAATTTTTTGTTGGTTGCTTACCTTGCCTGCACAAGGCAAATGGAGAGGACTGTGGGAAGGAGCTGGCAGGAAGGCAAAGGTACTGAGAGGACCTATCATGCTTCTATTAGCTCCAGATGAATTATTAAAAATGTGAACTTGTCCTAGTGGTGGTACTTCCTTGCTGGACTGTTCTTATGTATGGAAAAGCACAATAGAACAAATTTGATGTTTTCTTAACTTAAGAAAGGGGTATAATATCGATTTTGGATGGCTGCTACAGAAGTCTAAAAATCAAGTTTAGCACAGAACATAGCTCTCTGAAATCTTAACTTTTGGCCTATTTTATAGAAGTAAAATGGCTGCAATGAGGGCTCACTTCTACTCAATTAATAGTTAAACATATTTTCAAAAGAACCACTCAGAGAACAAAATGTTTACAACTTATTTGATGAGCCGAGGGGCCACAGTTACAATTTCAGACTTTCTTGTCATTTGCTCCTAACTAACTTGTTTATTTCTTATTTGGGCAACAGTGGTTCGTGTTACCCATTTGAAAGGTGGAGCAATAGTTAAGATCTCACTCTGCTCAACTTAGTAATGATGACAAAGTTTGAAAAAGGATAAGGAGAAGCTTATTAATTAGAAAAACAAAACAAAAACCCCATGGATGCTGGAAATCTGAAATAGAAGCTTAAAACTTGGAAATACTCAGTAGGTCAGGCAACATTTGTGGAGAGAAATATCATTTCTCTCTTCCTCTGCGGATGCTGCCTGAACTCTCAAATATTTATAGTATTTTGAGTTTTAGTATTAAGTAAAACTTGTTGGAGCTAAGAGCACATGAAGGAAGAAGCTTTGGTCTTTCAGTGCTCATTGTTGATGCAGCACTATGACACCAATGTGATATATTGAAAGGATGACAAAAAGGATATGGAAATAATCTTCTTTTCCTGCAGGTGGTACTGTAAAAACATAACACGAAGCAAAGCAGAGCAGCTTCTTCGACAAGAGGTAAATCAGTCTGCAATTTTTTAAAATATTAATTCATGGGATGTGGGTTTCACTGACTAGGCTAACCTTTAGTTACCCAGAGTGCAGTTAAGAATCACCTACAGTGGTCTAGAGTCAAATATAGACCAGACCAGGTAAGGATGGCTGATGTCCTTTTCCAAAGGATATTAGTGAACCAGATGGGTTTTTCCAGCAATGATAATGATTTTACAGTCACCATTTGACTTTAGTAAGGCCTTTGATAAGGTTCCACATGGTAGACTAATTAGTAACGTTAGATCACATGGCATTCAGGGTGTGCTTGCCAATTGGATACAAAATTGGCTTAACAGTAGGAGACAGAGGGTGGTGGTGGAGGGATGCTTTTTGGACTGGAGACCTGTGACCAGCGGTGTTCCACTGGGATTAGTACTGGTTCCACTTTTGTTTGTCATTTATAAAAATTTTTTGGATGAGAACATAGGAAGCATTGTTAGTAAGTTTGTGGATGACATCGAAACTGGTGGTACAGTGGAAAGTGAGAAAGGTTATCTAAGGTTACAAAGAGATCTTGATCAATTTGTTCACCGGGCTGAGGAGTGGCAGATAGAATTTAATTTTAATAAATGTGTGGTATTGCATTTTGGCAAAACAAACAAGGGCAGGACTTATACAATTAATGGTAGGGGCTCTAGGTAGTGTTGTAGAACAGAAAGACCTAGAAGATCAGATACGTAAGTTTTTGAAATTTGCATTACAGGTAAGCAGGGTGGTTAAGAAGGCGTTTAGCACACTTGCCTTCATTGCTCAGACATTTGAGCATAGGAGTTGGGACGTTATGTTGAGGTTGTTCAGGACGTTGATGAAGCCTCTTCTGGAGTGCTGTGTGTTGTTCTGGTGGCCCAGTTAAAGGAAGGATATTGCTAAGTTGGAGAGGATTCAGAAAAGATTTGCCAGGATGTTGCTGGAAATGGAGGGTTTGAGTTATAAAATTGGGCTGGATAGGCTGGGACTTCTTTCACTGGAACGTAGGAAGTTGAGGAGTAACCTTATGGAGGTTTATAAAATCATGAGGGACATAGAAAAGGTGAATAGCAAAGGTCTTTTCCCTAAGGTGGGTAGTTCAAAACTAGGGGCCATATTTTTAAGGTGAGAGGAGTACGATTTAGAAAGGACATGAGGGGCAACTTTTTTACACAGAGAGTGGTTTATGTGTGGAATGAAGCACCAGAGGAAGTGATGGATGCAGGTACAGTTAAAACATATAAAAGACATTTGGGTCAGTACATGAATAGGAAAGGTTTGAAGGGATATGGGTCAAATGCAGGCAGGTGGGTCAAGTTTAGTTTGGGAACAAGGTCGGCATGGACTAGTTGGACCAAAGGGTCTGTTTCCATACTGTATGACTCTATTGGACTCTGAATTCAGTTATTTTATGAATTCATTTTCTACCATTTGCCATGGCAAAAATCAAATCTGCGTCCCCAGAACATTACTTGAGTCTCTGGATTAATAGTTTAGCAATATTATTACCAGGTTATTGCCTACCCAAAATACCACGGATTCGAAAAACATTGTCAGAAGTCACACAACACAAGGTTATTGTCTAACAGGTTTATTTGAAATCATAAGCGTTTGGTGCATTGCTCCTTCGTCAGGTGAATCACTTTGTGATTTCAAATAAATGTGTTGGACTACAATCTGGCATAGTGTGACTTCTGACCTTGGCCACCCCAGTTCAACACTGGAACCTCCTCTTCTTGAAAAAACATTAAATCTCTGACAATATTTAGAGAGAACTTAGAGAGAATTTCTCAAGTATTGATGACTTAAGGATTACGATGAGTTGGCACTGAAGAGGAGTTGAGGCCTAAGGCAGATCAGCCATGATCTTATTGAATGGTGGGGCAGGCTTGAGGGGGCATAGGCCCTACATCTGCTCCTACTTCTTACATTTTTATGTTCTTATGATTTTTTTTGGACATGCATTTAAACTCAGGTTACATGATATATTTTGTGAACTTGAATAATTTAGCAAAATATTCAGAAATAAGAATGAAGTTAAAATAAATAAGGTTTTGTTTTACTCACTCATGGTATGCAGGTATCACTGGCTGGCCAGCATTTATTGCCTATCCCTAGTAGCCCTTAGGAAGGTGGTGGTTAGCTGGTAGCGAGAATGAATAGCTAAACTCCACGCATCTTATTATACAGGATTTCAACAAGTAAGCATAAATTGTAAGGAGATTAGTCATTTCTCAAGATCATACTATTTCTGTCTTTAAGCACTTGTGTTGTATTTTCAGATGCTGGGGGGTGAAATTGCTCTTCACCTCTAGCGTTTCTTGGTTGCCTGTTTTACATCACTTTGTATATTCTTTCCCTTAGATTTTAATATTGAACATATGCAAAGCATGTCACAAATTCGTTATAAGTGCAAAGGCCAATTTCACCTCTTAGTCTTTTGCAAATGTTAGTTTGCAGGTTTTTGAAAAAATATATTTTTGTGTATATTTTCTTTCAGGCTAAAGAAGGGGCTTTTATTGTCAGAGACTCGAGCCAGCAAGGGCTTTACACAGTGTCTGTTTACACTAAAGCTGGAGGGTAATCATTGATTTTACTTCATGAATTTTCGACTGGAACATTATGATTTTATGTGCTATTCATCTAGATGTGCAAGGACAAAAATGGGTCATACTTTGCAGATTGCTTTTCTTAAATAATAATTATTTTTAGCAAGGTTAGGATATGCCCATGTCTATCTAAAACCTTTGCACTTTTGAAAGGATAATTCCACTTCTTCATATTCTAAACAATACATGAACAGGAAGTCTTTCCACTTCAAGCAGGCTGGAGTTTATTGAGTTTAGAATTAATTAAAGGATCCACTACAGTGTAACTAGCACACTTGAAACAAGAGTCCAGATGTCATCTGCAAAATAAACACAACCCTTATTTCAGGTCCTAGCTAATTCCGATTTGTGATGGAAGATTTTTCATGGGTCATATTTCCCTATCTGAAAAAAAATTCTATCTTTTCCTTTCACAGACTAGGCAAGTCATAGAATTGAACAGTTACAGTTTCACTGAACTGTTGCATTCAGATAAATTGCTGCAACATTCACGACAATCTCTGGACAAACCCTGAAGTGAATCATAAACTTTAGAGACCCCAAGAATATCTTCTACTTATTTTCTGCATTTGCATGACCCTAAATACTAAAGGTGTTTTATGATCACAGTGATGCATGTTGGAAGAATCATGTTGCATCAACATCAATTTGAGTGACACACTAACTCCATCCACTCTGTGGAGCAGAAATAGATTTCTGTACTTTTATATACATACGCAAAGCAGAGTTTTGTTAGTTTTTTATGCAATGTAATAATTGCTGCCAAGTATAATATTAGGCTTCCTTATTGCACTCTCATTTTAAAATTTATAAAATCAAAATCGGCTTCAGTTGGTCTCAAGCTATTGCATACCAATAGACCATGTAATTAAACGATTCATTTAAGCCTTTCAATATAATTGGTCATCCAAGAGTGTATTATTACTCACACTATAGCCAGTGGGGAATCTCAAATTTTATGAGACTTGTGGTTTGAAGTAGTTGTACACTTTCATCAAAAATGGTTTTGTTTTAAAATGATAGAACAGTTGCATTGCATTTTATATGCCAATGGCATAGAAACTGCAAAATCATTAACTTATATAAAAATAGAATATGTTTCTTAATTGTTTATCTTATTACTTTTGCTACTAGTCAAATAAATCACATAGAAAATATGGTAATATGAGAGGTCAACGCTGATATCATTGGAACTAATGCAACTATTTCCTTTGGCTGCAGTGCCTCCTGTAAGAAAATAACTGTTCAGTGGTTGTAAACATAAAGGAATATTTTGATATGTTTGTTTTATTTATGATCTTAATGTTTTCCTACAGTGAACAAAACGGATCAGTCAGGCACTACCACATAAAACAGAAGCAGACATCAAAGAAACAGTACTATGTGGCAGAAAAACACCTTTTCGACACCATCCCTGAGCTCATTAAATATCATGAACACAATGCAGCAGGTACAGTATAGAAATGATTCTATCAAAATATTTAAAACATGAAACGCGTTTAATTTTAGATCATGAGTGTACGTGTACTGATTGGTAGTTACTGTAATAGGAGATGATACACCCTAAATATTGCAGCCTCTGTCATGACTATGTCAAGTGCGAAGCTGGTAACATTTCTCCCATTGTGTCAGAAACCTGTGAGCTCGGTGCCAGGCATTTGAAATCATAAATTAAGATGACACTTCAGAACAAATACAGTGCTTGTGCAGTACTGCACGACTGGATGTACCATCCTTCAGGTGAATCATTAAACTAAGGCCACATCAGCCCTGGTCACTTGTGTAGACTGATATAATTAATCTCATGGCTGTTTGTGAAGAACAGTAGACATGTGTCTTGGGTAACATTCTTTGCTCATCAACACTGCCACAGCTTAGATTACATGGTTCTTATTGGTGTTAGCAAAGTTTTAGTATGTTCAAAACGGCTTCCTTTTTCCATGCAATGTGAGGATTCCTGGTAAGGTCAGCATTTATTGCTCATCCTAAATTGTTGTTGAGAAAATGGTAGTGAGCTGCCTTCTTAAACTGGTGCAATTACACTGCTGAAAAGGACTTCAGGATTTTGACACTAGGACTCAGAAATGGTGTTAAAGATCCATATTAACGCACTGTGTGTCTGTGTGGAGAGGGATCTGCAGGTGTTGCTGTTATTTTGGTCACGTTATGAGAAGTCAGAAGGCGACTTATTTGCCCAGAAGTACTAGCCTTTAACTTGCTCTTAAAGCTGCAGTATTTATATACCAGATCCCATTAAGTTTCTGATTAATGGTAATCCTCAGAACATGATGGTAATGCCATTGAATGTCAAGAGGTAGTTAGATTATTTGTTGTTGGAGATGGTCATTCCCTGGCACTTGTTTGGTGCAAATGTAATTTGCCACTTATCAGCCCAAATTGGAATATTGTCCATACACAGCAAAGCATGAATATAAACAGCTTCAGTATCTGAGGAGTTGTGAATGGCACTGAACATTATGCAATCCTTTTCCAACCTAATCATGGAGGGAAGATCATTGAAAAACAACAAAAGTGGGTTTGACATGAGGAGAACTTGTGGTGATATCCTGAGACTAAGAGCGTTAGACCAGCAGCAATCTGCAGTGGATGCCATCCTCCACGTGAAGACATTGTAGCTGAAGCTTCCCTCAGGATGTGCAGTGATGTAACAAGAGGCCCAGAGTCTATTGCCCTTAATACCATTTTCTCTGGATTAGTGAGGTGCAGAGTTGGTAAAGACTCACGAAGTCCCAAATTGTCACAGAACTATGGCAACTACCGAAGAGGGAACTGTGACATGAAGGAATGGGTGGTCATCCAAACCTGGTGGCCATGAAGGTGACAGCTGTCTTGAACTTTAATCTAACTGGCTTCTTCCAAGGCCCTGGTGCTTAAACAATAAAGGGGTATGGATGTTCAGTTATATTACAATGACGCGTCTGCCATACCATCAATGTGCCCTGAGGAGCATTAGTTGGTGGTTGCTGTCCCAAAACATATGCCATGAAAGGCAACACTTGACCGGGTGCATGCTAGGCTTCAAACATGGTGCCAGCATTAGGGACCCTGAAATGTCCTGGCAATGTCGACTACTTCTGCTTCTGGTGAGTGGGATAATTGGGCTGTAATCGGATATGCGGTGTGCTAAATGAGTGTGGTACCTAGTTAACAAGGTGAACTTGTGCTGAGAGTGTGAGAAAACCTGCTTGGCTTCCAGGAGAGAAACCCTTATGAAACTCAGTAAAAATGACACTTTGTTGAATTCTGGTAAGATACAGCCAAAATAATCTTTCCCCAGTTTTGACTTTTTATGACAACCATCAAAGAAAACATGTAGCCAATTGATTGTATAGAACTTATCTTTTTACTCAAGAAAACATGTCCTCAGTAATGGGCAATAAAGATTGTTTTGAGACATTGCTCACATACTAGAAAAAAATACAAAGACTTTTTCAAAGTAATTGATTGACTGACTGTGAAGCACTATGGGACATTCTGAAGAAATAAATTTTGTTTTCATTAAATATGAAGACTTCATATTCCATAACATTCTTTAATAATGAATCATGACTATGTATTAAACAAATGTACTGTGGGCTTTGGTTAGAACAGACAATGCTATTATTTCAACTGCACTTTACAAAAAATATGTTTTACATACATCTGAGCAAAGTAATGAATTGAAACACACAAAGAGAGGTGATCTTATCAAAACGTATAGGATTCTTAAAGGGCTTGACAGGGTAATTTCTGAGAGGATGTTTCCCGTCATGGGAGAGTCTAGGACCAGAGGCATAATCTCAGATTAAAGGAGCACCAATTTAAGACTGCCATTCATTAACGATCTGAACAATGGAACAATAGGCATTGTTGCTAAATTTGCAGATGACAAAAAGGTAGGAGGTGGGACAGGTAGTTTTGAGGAGACAGCGAGTCTGCAGAAGACTCGGACAAGCTAGGAGAATGGGAAAAGAAGTGGCAGACGGAATACAATGTGGAAAAGTGTGAGGTTTTGCACATTGGTAGGAAGAATAGAGGTGCAGATTATTTTCTATATGGGGTAAAACTGCGGAAATCTGAAACACAAAAGGACTTGGGAGTCTTAGTTCAGGATTCTCTTAAGATTACAAGTAGGTTCAATTGGCAGTTAAGAAGGCAAATACAATGTTAGCATTTATTTCAAGAGGGCAAAAATACAAGATCAGGGATGGACTGCTGAGGCTACGTAAGGCTCTGATTAGACCACATTTGGAATATTGAGAGCAGTTTTGGCCTTGCATCCAAGGAAGAATGTGTTGTTCTTGGAAGGGATCCAGATGAGGTTTACAAAAATGATCCTGGTGATGAAGGGCTTGTCACATGAAGAGCAGTTGAGGACTTTGGGTCAATGAAGTTTAAAAGGATGATGGGGAATCTCATTGAAATCTACAGAATACTGACAGGCCTGGATAGAGTTAACGTGAGGAAGAGACTAGGAGGAGAGACTAGGACATGAGGGCACAGCCTCAGCGTGAAGGGATGACCCTTTAGAACTGGGGTGAGGAAGAATTTCTTCAGCTAGAGGATGTTGAATCTATGGGACTCAATGCAGCAGAGGGCTTATTGTGTGTATTTAAGACAGAGATATGTAGGTTCTTGATTAGTAAGTGGATGAAAGGTCATGAGGAGAAGGCAAGAAAATGGGGTTGGGAAACATGACAGCCATGATCGAATGGCAGTGCAGAGTTGATGGGCTGAATGGCCTAATTCTGCTCTTACATGATGTTGTGAGATGAGGAGGAATTTCTTCTCTCAGAGGGTTGTCAGTCTTTGGAACTCCTTGCTACAGAGACCTGTGGAGCCATAATCCTTGTGCATATTTAAGGATGATATTCTTGAACAATGAGGGAATCAAGAGTTAAGGGGAAAGTACAAGAAAGTGGACATGAGGAATGTCTGATTAGCCATGATCCTATTGAATAGTGGAGCAGGCTGAAGGGGCTGAATGGCCTCCTCCTGTTTGTATTTCTTGCGCTCTTATGGAAATATGAAATAAATATGATCGATGCAATACTAATCTTTGTTAAACTATCCCTTCTCTTCCATTGCCTAGGCCTTATCACAAGATTTCGTTATCCTGTTGGGCTAATGGGAAGATGTATTCCTGCAACAGCTGGCTTCAGCTATGGTACTGTCTGTTATTATTTATGTCGCTGCATATAGATTTAACAACCACTTCACTCTCCATTGAGACAGTAAATAGGAAATGAACAATTTTAAGCAAAAACTTTCAAAATGTAAACACATATTAGGTAACTTCCTGTAAGGTAACTCACAGATAGCCTGGGCCATGTTTAAATTGAGCAGAGCTTAGCCTGACCTGCCTCCACCTCACTAATTTGTGCCAGGATAGCATCCCTATACAGGAGGCTGCAATGGACTGGAAGCCCAGAACCTCCCTGCTCGGCTAACCCAAATCACCCAGATGAAAAGAAATGCAATGCTCAACCCTTTTAAATTTCATTAAAAATCTTTTCAAAATTTTTATTGAGGGTGGTATTAGAAACTTAGAGGGTACATTTCCACTTGGTTTCTCTGGTTCACCTACCTTAACATTAATAAGAGAGCCTTGGTTCCTGTGATGATTAACTGGAGAGGAACAGTATGGCAACTCACCTCTGAACTCAACCTGAGCATCTTGTAGCACAAGCTCACAACCCAGTTGGTGAGTTTCTAATCTCAGTTGTTGATTGTACTTCATCATGCCAACCTGTAAAATTCCAATGACATAACGTTATCAATGGAAATAGGATAATACCGTGAAACATTTTCATTTAGGCACCCTAGATAAATGTGAGTTGCTGTTAAATGATGATTCACTTAAAGTTGCTTTTTCTTTACAGAAAAGTGGGAGATAAACACATCTGAGTTAACTTTCATGAAAGAACTGGGAAGTGGACAATTTGGGGTGGTGCGTCTAGGAAAATGGAGGGCTACGCATAAAGTTGCAATCAAAACCATTTTTGAAGGTTCAATGTCTGAAGAGGATTTTATCGAGGAAGCTAAGGTCATGATGTAAGTGTTATTGGTGGCATAGAAAAGTCCAAGGTTTTGTTTGTGAAAATGAAAGGAAGGAATACAAAGACAGAGAGTTTCCCTGTTCTGCATCAGGACAGGACCTCCATCTGCAAGAGTTTTGTGTTGCTGACTGTTGAGATTTAATTTACATTTTTCAATTGTGTCACTTGTGGTATTCCCACTTTGCCAGAAAGACTATGTTTTCTGGAGATTGACAATGGTTGGTTGTTTCAGTAGGTGGACTTTATTCCTCAAATGTAAAGTTCACAGACTGGAGGAAGGAATTCAGCTCAAGTGAATGATTCTATTCCTTTGGGAAGGGTTTAAAATGTAAATTGTTCCACTGATCTTTTGCAGCATTAACATGCTGGTATTATTAACACTAGAAATATTTTAAAAGTAAAACATTAACAACATTCCATCATTATGACTGAGGTTCAATATACTTACACAGATTGGGACCAGAATATTCAATGTCTGTTGTCACTGCCAACAGAAAATCTGGAAATGGAAGTAATTGGCAGGGAGGTGATATAATGGCGACTAGCCAAATTTACATCTTCACCGAACCCAATAATGCCTCTAATGCAACATAATTAAGTAGCAAAGCTGGATCATAGTGGAAAGGTTTGTAGCAGATTAATTACGGCAATCATTAAGGGAATTCATAGTCTTAAAATGAGAGTGAACATAACAGTAAGCCGGCAATTCCTGAACACAGTATGAAACAAGTCTCAAGTCTATCTGGCATAAAAATTTCCAGGGTAAGTGTAATAATTCTGGGTATTTGACAGGTTTAGCATTTGTAGAGACTTTCTTGTTCACACACCATCTCATGAATTAAATACATACAGATTTGTGTGGTATCCGTAATAACTACTGCCAGACAGATTTCCCTTTGGATAAATATAAAACTGATTATAATCTTTGGATAAAGTGGACAAATTTAAACTCTCACCTCAAAAAGAGTCCAAGAACTCTGCAATTATTTGATGCTGATATTTGCTGCTGAAAGTGACACTGAATCAATACTTTTCTTCCCTCAGGAGATTATCACATCCTAATTTAGTTCAACTTTATGGGGTTTGCACACAAAAGCGACCAATCTGTATAGTTACAGAATTCATGGAAAACGGTTGTCTGCTCAATTATTTAAGACAGAGACAAGGCCGACTTCACAAGGAAGCCTTACTGGGTATTTGTGAGGATGTGTGCGAAGGGATGAAGTACCTCGAGAGGAACCATTTCATTCACAGGGACTTGGTAAGAATTGTGCAGTTCCATTGCATAAAATAGCAATTTGTAGGGTGTTACCTGCAGAAAATCAGCATTTGTTACAATGACATACATTGGTAAATTTTGAGTGTACAAAGTAGCACTGTCACACATCACTGTCACTTAAGGAGAACCGGAATTAACCATAGGTAAGTTTCAGATCTGAAATAATGTACTTTCAAATAAGTGACAGGTGACATTATTGTCTGTATCATTGTTAATAAATATTGTGGTGAAATTGTGCTGTGAGTTTAGCATTTGAGCTAATTAACAGTTCATATCTCTGATAGCACACGTATATGGGTATATCAATATGCTAATATTGTAGGGTGAAATAACAAAGGAAAGGAACAAATGTTCTTTTGTTGTTTTCCAATTGTATGTGGTCAGTTACATTTTGCACCTTACACTTTCGACCAGACATTGAAGTGAATAATTCCACTGTCGGTGAATAAAATATGTTCCAATTGTAGCAACCATAATCTGCCATGTATCAAGCCACTACAGTGAGTTATAACATGAGCCAAGAACAGAGAGAAGTTTTCAGAGTACTTTTCCGCAGTCTTAACTTAGTATCTAAATTCCAAATGACCAGGAATTAAACAATTTATGTCTTTCTTTATGCTTCCTGCTACTAATGAATACCTACCGTAGATCTCAGTGAATCAGTAAGATTACTGTTACACTAAAGAGAAGTCCCAGGACATTGTAAATGTTTGGAAGTACTGAGTGCATGAAAAAGCACTGAGTTTGCCATGCTATGAGGAAGAAGAATATAATGATATTGAATGGGTTATATTAACTAAAACTTGTGTTGGAGATTGCAATCTATTAATTGCAGAGAGTGTGATGTTCCTGTTCCTTCACCTAGCTTATTATATGTCCCAGGTAAAATGCAAAACAAAATCAAATAAGAAGGTTCACATAAATGTAAGGGAGGCCCACATACAGATTTTCCACCCCTTAATTTGAATTGTTGGAGATTTCACTGGGCTGTATTCAAGGCAGATGTTCTTTCTGACCTTTTATATTTGTGCCAATAATATAGAATCATCCCAGGTATGTGAACAAAAAAATATGTACCAAATATCCTTGATAGCCATTCAAAGGCATTTCCTTTGTAGCCTAGAGTTGGGGTTTTTGAAAACATTGATTGATGTAGTATGAAGGAAAGTTGACTTCAACTATTTCAAAATGGTGTGGTTAAAAGGCAGTTGGGTTTAGCATTGTGAGAGTCATACGACCAGGCCTCTTTAGGGGAGATAAAGGCAACAGTTACTATTTTTACAATTGAAGCTAAAGGAAATTACTATTCTATGAGTCACATAGAAATACTTCTTCCAGTTGCCAAGGTGTCCAATTAAATAACTGTCTACATTAGGTTTTAAACAAGAAGATCTATTGACCAAGTTTCTTAAGAAACACAATTTTGTATTCTTTATCAAAACTCAACTTATTCAATAAAACTGCAACAATTGGTTAATATAAAAGTACAGAGGTTATCCTTATAAATATCCACAAAGTGGTTATGCGTGTGCGTGCACGGAGAATTTCATATCTGAGAAACTTATTACCTTGCTATTCCAAAACAGATCAGGAAAAGAGAAATAAAGAAATAATCTCTCTGTTGACACTGGGTTCCTAGGGAAAAAAATCACATTTGGCCAATGGATTATTCTTGAAAGCAAAAGGATAAAGCACAGGATGTTCTGGAGTGAATTGCTGTGATGTTCTGGCAGGTGCAGTCAAGTTGTGAATCATGCACAGTAGTCTCTCAAGTCTTGCAGATATACCTTGATCAGGAAGTATAACCTCCAGATGCTTTTTCAGCCACTCTTTCTTTATCTTGAATTGATTTCAGAAATTGGAGACTTCAGCTGGAAAGCTTGCTCATAACAACTTTTCCTCCATCTGAGCTGGCTCTCTCCAACCAGTTGCTATTCAAAAAAACAAAACAGCACCAGCTGGATCTAAAGCAAAGCAAGCAATTATCACTTGTTATGCGATTTCTACAAAGTCTTGTTGAAAATTCCAAAGTCCACAAGTGAACTTTCAATGACCTCTTTTAAAGAAACCACACCAGTGATGTCCATAAATGTTAAAATAAATTCCTTTTTCCAAAATCCTTCAATAATTAAATTCTCTAAACAATATTAAATATAATATATCTTTGCAGCACCAGCATGACGAAGGTTTGCATTGCATATCCATCTGGACAGTTAGAAGGATAGTCACTAATGTATCTTGTTACAGGATAGGGGTTACAAGTAAATTTATTGTGTAGGATGTTTTTGAAGACAGCCAGCCTCTCTGGCAGTCTTTGACACTGTAGTTAGAATTTGGTCCCATCAGGAGGTATGTGAAGCATTGTTTGTCTGAGTGACTGATTTCTGAGAAAATAATACTGCTCGGTCCTGTCACACATTTAAAGCATACTTTGTTATTGGGCTGTTTAATATGCTTTTTTCTCTTTATAGAGAGACATATGTGTCAAATTTGGTTATAAATCTGTTTGTAACAATGGAATTAATGCTTAACCTTGTTATTTCTTCTCATAACTAGGCTGCGAGAAACTGTTTAGTGGGTGACAAGAATGTGGTGAAAGTATCTGATTTTGGAATGGCAAGGTAATACGTTTCTCAGATATGAAATTCTAACTTTAATGGAAACATTCTGTAAGGTAACTATTGTTGATTGAATGTTAACAGACACTGCTTAATATTCTTGGAGTCCGTTTGGAACCTTTGCTAGGAGCAACCTCAACGAGGATCTCACTAATTTCAGAAATTAAGTAATCATGTCATCATCTGAAGTTTGAATTAAGATTATTATTAAGCAGTTCAGAGAAGGTTTACCAGACTAATACCTTATGAGGAAAGGCTAAACAAGACAGGCCTGTATTTTTTGGGGATTAGAAGAGTCAGAGGTGACTTAATTTAAACATATAAGTTCCTGAGGGGATTTGATTAGGTGTATGTTGACAAGATGTTTCCTCTTATGGAAGAATCTGGAACTGGAGGATGTAGTTTAAAAATAAGGGATCGCCCATTTAAGACAGAGATGAAGGAACATTGTTTTCTCTCAAAGGATTGTGAGTCTTTGGAATTCCCTTCCAAAACCTGTTGATGCAGAATCTTTAAATATTTTTAGGGCAGAGGTAGATACAGGTTTGATTATCAAGGGGATGAAAGATTATTGGGGAAATGCAGGAATGTAGAGTTGCGGTTAAAATCAGATCAGTCATGGTCTTTTTGAATGGCTGAGCAGGCTCATAGGGCCAAATGACCTAGTCTTGTTCCTTTCCATATGTTTGTATGAAATTGAATCAAAATCTTGTTTTTAACCACTTCATTGCAGATCAATGTGTTCCATGTTCTTATTGTGAAGCTTTGTCCTTGGTTAATGATTACAATGATGGTTGGAAATAATTCTTGATACCACCGAATTATCAATTCATGGCCATGACCAATATAAACAACTGAGCAAGACAGTGTGTAATCCCCAGGTCACTTAGATGCTTTATAGACCAAGACACCACTTGGTCAAAAAATATAGAACAAAACAATGCCCAGAAATTCAAGTGTACTGAAACTGAGAGACCTAGGTAGCATGTGCCTGCTCATGTGGTCCCAAGTAACATGTTAAATTTGTGTATGAGACTTCACACAAATGATTGAGTCTTGGGGTCAGCACTTTTCAAATGTTTAGATTTTGGTTTCAGCATTCTCCATTAAAGGTACTGTTTGGGGCTTCTTGTGGCAGAGTGGTAGTGTCCTTTCCTTATGAACCAGAAGGCCCAGGTTCAAGTCCCAGCTGCTCTAGAGACATGTACTAACCTCCTTGAGTGGTTTATTTGAAAATATCTAAAGGTGCTAAATAAGTGTAAGTTGTTTTTGTAATTACTGTTTATTCACATTAAAATGCACATAACCACTTTTGGATGCCCAATGCTGCCGTTATATTTTGGAGTACTCTCTGGTCTGGTGTCCATTTGAAGATGTCAATGCAGGCTCTTGTGGAATGGATGTTATTTTAAAAGCCTCCTTCTTGAGACACTTTCATCTATGGGTAACCTGAACAAAAAAGCTGTTCATTATGATATAATTGCGAGCTGCTATAGGGTCAGAACATCTGTGCCAAAAGCACACAATTCATTCTTGTAAAGTTAATTAGTTTGAGATCATATTGAATGGCGGAACCAGCTTGAAGAGCTGAAAGACTTACTCGTGTTGCTATTTTCTATGTTTCTGTTTCTAAACGTGATTGATGGATCCAGTCACAGGAGTTATTATCGCGGTTGGTGCAATACAATGAAGATGCAGAGAAACAGAGGAGAAGAAGACTTGCCAGGAAGTCCAAGACCAGTAGCAACCTCCAGTGGATACTGAGCAGTCTCCAGATAAAGAGGTCACAGCTGAAGGTCACCTCAGGATGCGCAGGCAGTATAGGGGTGCCAGAGTGAACGAATAAATGAATGATTTATTGTAACTTGTATTTTACAGTGAACAATACAATAAAATACAATGAAAAGCTTCAACTGTTGCCACAATCTGGTGCCATTTTGAATAGTTTAAGAATAAAAAGACATAACTGAGAGAGAGTCTATTTTTGTTCGACCATCTCTGCCATGAGTCCTTAACTGGCTCATCAACAACACCTGTACTGCCACCTCTCTGCCACCGCCTGCACTCAACCCACCAGAGTCAGAGTTGCCACTCTACAGGTACCACCACTTTGCGAGTTGCTGATGCTTTTCCGCCACCAGCGCCGGACACATGAACGGTGAAGTCACCACTCTTCAGGGACCATCTCATCACCGTTTGTCCCACCTCACTGCTGCCGATTCTGGGTCCTGTGCCGGACCCATACTCACCCCGCAAACCAGATACCTCAGTTCTGCCACCGCTGCCGCCTCACCGATAACAAGGAGTCCTTGGCTCCGGGCCTACTGCTAACCAGCTTTCATGCTTGACGCCAATTCCTCCAAAAGAACAAAGTCCTGTGTCCTTACAGGCTGAGAATGTCCCAGGACATTCTGCTCCAGCTTGTGTCATTGCTCAGTCCCAATCTGTGATCCGAAGGAATGGGTGACCACCCTATCCCAGTGGCCCAGCTGCATTGAAATTTCTGCAACTGACTCCACCCATGGAGCCATGGAGGACATGTGTGGGATCTCTCAATCGTCCCTCCACAAATGTACCAACACTGTTAACAACACCATTTGTGCCAGTTCACAAGACGTCATCTTGTTTCCCCGTGGCAAGATCAATGCTGCAGCCTGGGTAGTAGGCTTTACCAACTTCATTGGCTATGCCCCCAGGTGCATGTCACTATAAACTGTACACATCATGTACAGCCAATGTTGGAGTCATACCTGGCACATAGGAGGATGGCTGTTGCTGTTGGAGGTCAGTCATCTCAGCTCCAGGACATCTCTGCAGGAGTTCCTCAGGGTAGTGTCCTAGGCCCAACCATCTTCAGGTGCTTCATCAATGACATTTCCTCCATCACAAGGTCAGAAGTGGGGATGTTCACCAATGATTGCACAATGTTCAGCACCAAACACATCTCCTCAGATACTGAGAGATAGTAAGAACTGCCGATGCTGGAGTCAGAGATAACACAGTGTGGAGCTGGAGGAACACGGCAGGCCAGGCAGCATCAGAGGAGCAGGAAAGCTGACGTCTAGGGTCGGGACCTTTCTTCAAAAATTCTGTTATTCTCAGATACTGAAACAGTCCATGTCCAAATGCAACAAGATCTGGACAATATCCAGGGCTTGGGCTGCAAATTGACAAGTAACATTTATGCCACACAAATGCCAAGCAATGATAATCTTCAATAAGAGATAATCTAACTACCTTCCCTTGACATTCAATCATGTTATCATCACTGAATCTCTCACTATTGACATCCTGGAGGTTAGCATTGACCAGAACCTCAACTGGACTCGCCATATAAATAGAATGGCAACAAGAGCAAGTCAGATGCTAGTAATACTGTAGTGAGTGACTCAACCCCTGACTCCCCAAAGCCTGTTGACCATCTACAAGGCAGAGAGTGTTGTTGGAGCTGCACACATCCAGACAAGTGGGGAGTAACAATTCTCCTCAAACAGCAAGAATTCTTTGCATACTAAGTATCAGGACTGTGCATGTAGAAGTATCACAACTAAAAAAGTTTAATTAAGAAAAGAGTGATTTTATTTTCAAGTATGCAGAGGGTAGTGCATGTATGGAATCAGCTTCCAGAGGAAGTGGTGGAGACTGGTACTATTACAACATTTAAAAGGCATCTGGATGGATGTATGAATTGGAAGGGTTTAGAAGGATATGGGCCAAATGGGACTAGATTTATTTAGGACATCTGATCGATATGGACGAGTTGGACCAAAGGGTCTGTTTCCGTGCTGTATATCACTATGACTCTATAACTTGATCAGACACATAACTAAATTCCTTTCCAAAGACGTTTTCATGCCTGTTAAACTGTTGTGATGTCTGTTTTCTACAGGTATGTCCTTGATGATGAGTACACCAGCTCAACAGGCTCCAAGTTCCCCGTCAAGTGGTCACCCCCTGAGGTCTTTCACTTTTCTAAATTCAGCACCAAATCAGATGTCTGGTCATTTGGTAAGAAGTTTCATTTACTCAAGGAATTGATGGGATTAAAATTCTTTACTAACTACGTATAAAGGTTAATTGTCAATGAGTCGCTGAGCCTCAAGTGCTTTGCGATGAACTTGTAAAAGTACAATTTTCTTTTCAGTCACAGGACACGAGTGAGATTAGGAGAAACTTCTTCGCCCAGAGAGTAGCGAGTCTGTGGAATTCTCTGCCATAGAAAGCTGTTGAGGTCAAACCTTGAGTGTTTTCAAGAAGGAGTTAGATCTAGTTCTTAGGGCTAAAGGGATCAAAGAGTAAGGGGAGAAAGTGAGAACAGGGTATTGAATTAGATGATCAGTCATGATCATATTGAATGGCAGAACAGGCATGAGGGGCTGAATGGCCTATTCCTACTCCCTTTTTTGTGTTTGTATGTTTCCTCCTTTTTTAGAAGTCAATTCATATACATTCTAGTGATTATGAGACTGGAGTGGATGGGGATCTTGGGCACAGTTCTTAGTTATGCATATAGAATATGCCTGGGCATCCAGTAGTGGCACAAAGTTAAAATGCTTTATTTTCTTATTCTTTTAGATTCTTTTCAGCCTATTTAATTGATTGGCTCTTTTCTTTTGCTGCCGTAACAATCATGGATGGCAGGAATGTACAAATATTCCTAACATCTAATATTTCAAAGGTGATAATGATAATGAGTGCATGGTATTACATCTTATTATGATTTTCATTTCTTTATAATACTTTACTTCATATTTCAATGGAAGTGTTCCTGTTCCTGAGGTCAATTTTGTACAAGATGCTGCTCTGCCTAGTCAGCTTAGGTTAGCTAATGCAGATGATAAAATTGATTTTAAAGTGAATTCGGACCTACCATTAGAAAGAAATTGGGTCTGCAATGGGTAGAACAATACCAAATAAAATGCAGTGATTAATATAGTTGGATCTGTAGATCAGTGACATTATTTGGAATGTCAGTGAAATATTTAAAGGGAAGATTGAAAAAGGATTTGTTCATAGTAGTACTTGGTAGTTAACACACCAAGATACTGTGATATGTACTGGAGCAATAGAATGTTGAACCCTCGTTGCCAAATCGGTAGACTATAATTGACAGTTATCATGTTCCAAAACATCCCCATTCTCCACAGTAGGGGAGGCCTGGATAGCAATGGAAAGGTATCTGAAGTATTCACAACTATCTTCAAGCTGTATTGCCATCTCTGCTTCCTCTTGCTGTCTTTATTCACTCCACATAATGTCAAGAAATAGCTGAAGGCATTTAAAATGAAGGCTGTGGGCTCTGACAATATCCTGGCTGTATTACTAAAGATTTATGCTCTAGGACGAGCTTTGTTCTTAGCCAAGTTCCAGCGCAGCTACAGCACTGCCATCAATGTGATAATGTAGAAAATGTCAAGAAAAATTTAAATGCTATGGGAATGAATTGAAATAGTTCTTTCTTGTGTGTAAATCTCTGTTGATTTTTTAAAAATGTTATTGTTCTTTCAGGTGTTTTGATGTGGGAGGTATTTACTGAGGGTAGAATGCCTTTTGAGAACAAGTCAAATGCTGAGGTTGTTGATGAAATATCTCGAGGAGAGAGGCTCTATCGACCATCACTTGCTTCGCTCTCAGTGTATCAAATCATGTACAGCTGCTGGCATGAGGTTGGTTGCTATTTCAGCTCTTTATATAGACTGTCTTCACCTTGTTACAACATGACATTTACTGTGGTTGATAGCAGTGAATTTCTTGGTGTGGTCACAGGAGAGTTTAAGGGTATATGGGGAAATAGGGACTGTGTGACAACTTGGTCGTCAATGAGGACCAGATATTGCAGAATTTCTGGAGTACATCTTGCTCTCGAACCATTATTCAGTTCTGAATCAGTTCTGAATTCTTGTGGGAAATTTTGTTCTTTGTTTCCCTACCTCTGGGTATGAAAACCTGGGCTCATGTCTCACCTACTACAGAGGTGTGTATTAACATTCCTATCCGTGGGAATGATGGTTCATCTGGGGGATGTAGCCAGAGCAAAATCCACTGCAGTTTGGGTGACTCAGCTGTACAGGACAAAGCAGGAAGAAGATTAGAAAGAAATACGAGGGGATTTGATAGCTAGGAGAATAAACATTTCTGTGTCGACAGACATGCTTCCAGATTAGAATGTTACCTCCTTTGTACTTGAGTCAAGGATGTCATTGAAGAGTAGAACATTCTGAGGGAGAATGAGCAACGAGTGGTTGTGGTCCACATTGGTACCAATGACAGAGATAGGAAGTGAGAAAAAATCCTGTAGACAGATTTTATTAATAGCAAACAAAAAGTATAGTCACCTCCAGATTAATCCCAATGGTGTGCTTTATAACAGTCAGAGGGAGGAGCAGATGAATGTGTATTTGAAGAGGTGGTGGAGGGCTTTAAATTCTTGGGATGTTGGGACCATGTACAGGCCCAATGGGATTGATGAACAAGGCTGGGAGCATTGTCTTTGCAGGGCAATTTTCTAGTACTATTTGGGAGACTTTAAATTAACTTGGGAGGGAAATGGAAACTAGAATGTAGAATTAGCAATGATAAATATGGTGCAGAAAGGATTCAGTAAAGCAGATCACTCTAGAGTAAGAAATAGGTTGTTGATGTCAGACTAAGAATGAATCCATGAAAGTCTGTGCAAGAAACACAGTAAATGAGGTTGTTGTACTGTTGGTGCACATATCCATGTGGCAATGTGATAATGTAGTAGTAAATATCAACAGGACTGGTTGCTAAATAGCTCTGGATACTAAGTGATCAGGAAAGATCGAGACAGAAAGAAGAGTGAAGAGTATATTGATTTAAGGAGACTATTACCGTGCTAGAGCTAGATGATGTCCTGAAACAGCCACAAACCAAATTTATTCGGTTAGAGTAAAGAAACAGTAGTGGTACCATTATGTCACTAGCTATATTCAATTGGCCACTAACAAGCAGAAAAGATGTAGAGGAACAAATTTGCAGTGATATTATAAAGTTGGAAAAATAGTGTTGTAATATCCTAGTCCAGACTATGATAGTAATAGTGTAAAGGGCAGGGGTCCTATGGGATGTCCAGGAGAATATTTTTGATCGCTATGTTTCTAGCCCAATGAGGAAGGAGGCATTGCTGGATCCAGTTCTGTGGTTCATATAACAAGGATCAGTGATCATAGCATCATAAGTTTTACGCTAGAAATGGAAAAAGGACATAGAACAATTTCAAGTTAAAGTACTTAATTGATGGAGAGTACATTTCAGTGAGGTGAGAACAGATCTGTGTCAAGTAAAATGGAACCAAAGATTGCCAAGCAAATCTATAATGGAATAATGGACTATCTTTAAAGAGGAATTGATTTTGGTACAATTCCCATGAGTATGGAAAGAGAAGGCAACTGAGTACAAAGCTCCCTGGATGATGTGCAAGATTTAGAGTAAGCATAAAACGTGCCTGTATGACTAATACCAGTTGGATGATGTAATTGAGAACGAGGTTCAATATAGAAATGTAAAGGAGAGAATGAAAAACAAATCAGAGATAAAGAGAGAGTGTATGAAGAGATTGCCAAAGTTCAAAGGGAATTGAAATTCATCTATAAGCAAAATGGTTAAAAAAAAGATAGTGAAAAGAGAATTTGGCCATTTAGTGACTAAAAAGGAAGTTGATTGCCTTGAGGCAGAAGTCATAGTGGAGGTACTAAATTAATATTTTGTATCTGCCTTTACCAAGGAAAAGGTTGCTACTAAGTCATAGTGAAATGTGAGGCTGTTGAGATACTGGGTAAAACTAAAGGTTGGTAAAGAGGAGGTTTTGGAAAGACTGGCAATACTTAAAGTCAATAAATTACCAAAGCCAGATGAGTTGTATCCAAGGATGCTGACAAAAGAGTGAAGATTGTGAAATACTAGGAATAATCTTCCAATCCTCCTTAGACTCTGGGCTGCTGTAAGAGGACTGGAAAAATGCAAATATTACACTTTTGTTCACAGCAGAGTATAAAGAATAAACTCAGCAATTACAGTCCAGATAGTTTAATTTCAGCGGTGGGAAAACATTTAAAGATAACAATCCAGGCGAAATTAACAGTCACTTAGAAAAGTGTGGATTAATTAAGGAAAGCCAACGTGAATTTGTTGAATAAAAATCAAAAGAGCTGCGGATGTTGTAAATCAGAAATGAAAACAGAAATTACTGGTAAAGCTCAGCAGGTTTGGCAGCATCTGTGGAGAGAAATCAGAATTAATGTTTTGGGTTGAGTGACTCTTCCTCAGGCTTTGTTAGATGATCACTTTGTTTAACCAATTTGATTTTTTGATAAGTTTTTTTAAGAAGGTAACGGAGGTGGTTGATATGAGTAATGAAATTGATGTGATGTACATGGACTTTTCTCCCAGGGCCCCATAACCCCTAACTCAATTAATTGTAGGTCAAAAGTTTAACTCAGCCTTGAGTATATTCAATTACTCAGCCTTCAAAACACTCTGTGGAAGAGAATTCCATAGGCCAACATCCTTCATAGAGAAGCAATTCTTCCTTATCACCTTCTTAAATAGGAAATCTTTTATTTTTAAACTGTACTCCATAGGTTCAGATTCCCTGACAAGAGAAAGCAACATTTCAGCATCTACACTGTTAAGCCCCCTGAGAATCTTATTTCTTCCAAAACAAACATTCCATTCTTCTAAATTCTAATGAGCATAGACCCGAACTGAGCTGCCTTTCCTCTTAAAACAACCTCTGTAAAACTGAAGGACAACTTCTGAGGTAGCCCTGGGCTACACTGGGATTTCTGTTCAACTTATGGCGTATCTCTTTTTCTGTACGTTGTTCAGGTCCATTTCTAGCTACTCTGTTCCCTGCTTCCTGGTTTAACTAATCCTTCAATTCCTTATTCTTCTCTTCTGCCTGTACATTCACTTTCTTGCTTCTTCAAATATGGACTATCATTTGGTACTCATTCAGCGTGATGGGGAGACATTTAGATTTCTCTGAATATTGTCAGAACCCAGTTCCGGGGATTTAAGATGGGTTTAGTGGCACGGCATATTAGTAAACAATCACTGTGTAGATAATGACTTCAATTGTTTTGAATGCAATTTTTCAGAAACCAGATGGGCGCCCTAGTTTTCGTGAGTTGTTGGACATGATCAACGAGATCACAATGAATGACCATAAGTGAAATGACTTCTCACATGCTCAACATCCTGGACGTGGATTGAGAACATTCAGAAAGCATCCTGTGCAGATGTTTTGTCTGTTCATGTTTCACAGGCAACACAAAGTATGTGCCTGAAATATCCGGAATGACACCCATTTCTTCACGGCATCAGATTACGCAGCATTTAAGTGCAATAAAGACAAAGTTTCAAGAAAGGAGACAGGACAGTGATATGTAGATGGCTTTGTTTGTAATGCTGCAAAATATCCAGCTGAGATTTGAGGTTATTATATAGTTTGGAGGATAATTGTAAATTATGTTAATATTGGTATTCACGTTTCTTTGTGGAATGTATTATAATTATTTAAATTTCGGTTGCTGTAGTCATGAATTATAATTATTTAAAGTTATCACAGCAACTGAAGGGGCAAAATGTGTCACATATTCACTAAAAGAATGTATGCAATAGAAATAAATTTTATTAAGTTTAACAAAGTTACCTTTAGCTACTTTAAGCATGTGACAATTTAAAATCATAAAGATAACAGAAATCATAGCATTAAAACCAATAATAAAGATGTATTATTTGGCAATGTAGAGTGGTTAGCTGTTCAGTATTGCAGTGTTTTGGGCAACATGTAGTGATGTGATGCAATTAACAGCAGTAAAGCACCTGCAAAAGGTCATGGAAGAGCTTTCAGACATCTGTTATTTAAAAGAGAATCTTTTAGACAAGGCAAAAATAGAATTGGGTCTAATGTATAACAGTAGTGATATTCTATCTATTCAATGACCTGTGAACATTTTGAGGCTGAGCTGAGCTTGTTTTACAATTACAGTCACAAATATTCAATTTTAATCAATTTTATTACAGCATAGTCCTGAAAGTAAAGCAATATTTTTTATTATATAAATCTCTGTAGGCATCCTAGAATAGCAAAAGAATTTGTTCATTCATCTTTGATTTATAAAACTTTAGTGCATTTGTATAGAATCCACCTCTTCTAAAGTATGTCAAGTCTGTGATATCTACAAGTTGTATGCAATCATGAAACTATAGCCAGAATGTAAGAAATTCCAAAAGAAAATGCTTATTCTGTTAAAAACTTGTATATAGATATTGAAGGCTGGTCCAAAATTTCTTTGTTCAAATAAACTGTTGGCAATGCACTGATATTTTCAATGGTTTGGTGATCGAGACAGAGGGGCAATTATAAACCTTTGTTGTACCATAAAAAGGCTGCACATATTTTCTTGTGGACATTTGCTGAAAGTATAACCAAATATTGCTATTTTTCTTCATACCACACTTTCCCCACCATTGTGTATTATCAAGTCACATTTACCACAATTTGAAGGCAGTTTGAACTAAGTTAAGTGGTAAGCCAGGCTATTTAAAAGGTCTCCCTTAGTTTTATGAGACTTCTGTCCAGTTTTATAACAGATTGTTAGGACTGCGAATCTTTAGGTTTTATATCCCACTCTACTTCCAAAATCCCCTCATAACCCCAGTCTCCCTGCCTCTTCATCTCATATTTCCTGACACCATGGCCACTCATACTCCCATACTGCCAACAAGGTACTTCACACCCATGCAATTTTCACAGCCGTTTGCCAAGCATCCATTGAGAAGACATCAGTAGCAGTATTTCTGATTGTGGGCTGAAATGGGAAAAGGACTGTTTTTATAAACCAAAGATTGTGGAATGGATTGCTGCACTGTTTGAAGGCAAGTTATCTAGACTCATTGTAAGCAATGTTTACATTGCTGCTTTGTTCAACCAGTGGAGGAGATTGGTTGAAGTCAGGATGGCATAGGAATTACGTCTGAGTTAAGATTCAGTCAGCAACAAGCAGCTGATTGGTTTTTGTGACTGGCTATGGATTCCAACAACCATCTGATTGGTTCCTGGGAAGTGGAATAGTTTGTGAGTGTTAACGATATTGCTAGAAGCCTTCAGACCTCTAGAAGAGAATGTGTTGTGTCCCTTGCAGTAGAAAATCTCTGAAGCCTAAGAAAATAAGGAGGCAAGGGTCTAATAGTATTATCACCAGACTATTAATCCAGAAACTCAGCTAATGTTCTAGGGACCTGGGTTTGAAACCTGCCATGGCAGATGGTGAAATCTGGATTCGACTTTAAAAACAAAATCTGAAATTAAGAATCTACTGATGACCGTGAAACCGTTGTCGAATGTCAGAAAAATCCATCTGGCTCACTAATGTCCTTCAGGAAAGGAAATCTGCCATTCTTACCTGGTTTGGCCTACATGTGATTCCACACCCACAGCAATGTGGTTGACTCTCAAATGCTCTCTGAAATGGCCTAGCAAGCTATTCAGTTCAAGGGCAGCAATGGATGGGCAATAAATTGCTGGTCAGCAATGATGTCCACATCCCAGGAGTAAATAAAACAAAAGTTACTTATCTTCTCCCACTAATTGCTGTAAATTATTCTTTTAACCAATAAGCCAGAGACTCTATCATTTGTGAATGACTTGCTCTGTGTCTCATCCAATATTGTGAAAATTACCTGGAGAAGAGAAATTGAAGTAGAGCAAGTCCTGGCAATTAACAGGATCTCAAAAGTGATCCTGTATACAGGAGCTAATTGAACTGCCTTCCAGTCTTTTCCCCTCCACCGCAACAGCCATGCCTGTCTGTATGTATGTGTGTATGTATAGGGGATATTTTATAAGAAGGTTGTAGTTGTAACTAATTGATTTGTATGTCAACTGTTAATATATTACTGTTCCTTCAGTATCATTGGGACAAAATCCTGGAATTGGCATCTAACAGCATGGTGGTTCTACCTACAGCACTCGGACAGCACTGGTTTAACAAGGCAACTCCCATCAGCTTCATGAGGGCAACTAGGGATGGGCAATAAATGCTGGGCCAGCCAGCGATGGCCATGTCCCATGAATGAAATAAAAAGAAGTTCATTGTTGTTTACCAATAGTTGGAATTAATTTATTTGTACGTGATAGAAATTATTGTTAAAATCTGGATTGTATTTTCTGCTTACCTGGGTCAAAAAGACACGTAAATTTGGGGACATTTGCATACTTTGTAAAATCTTTAACTTTCCGAATGACTCCAGGAGCAGTGTCTCTTGATTTCCAAAGCACTACCCTAGTGAGGTGGGACAAAATCACAAAACAAAATCAAACAATCCAAGAGAACTCTCACTCCTAAACATTTGATACAGAAAAATTCCATTCAAAAAACCCGTTCAAAGATTTTAACTAGCTTATGTGGTCAACCTGTTATGAAAACAAAAATATTCGCCTTCAGTAATCACATTAAAGACAGCTAATTCCTTAATAGCTGGTGAAAAGGTAGCTATCAAAATATGAACTCAGCCTTGCTGCTGAGATATCTTGTTTCTGGCTTTTTGAAACTAAGTCAAACATCTAATATGGACTCAGCTGTAATAACAGCCCTGGCAAAGGTTCACATAAAATCTATTGAGATGCTAAGGGCTTTTTCTAACCTACCTCGGATGGCCTGTTGCCCAACAGCAAAGTTTTTTTCTTGTTTTTTTATAACTGACAGCTGCATCTTGATTATTTTATGCTTAAAGGTCTAGGGATTTAAATAACTTCAGTTCATGAAAGGTAACAGACCTCATCCACCTTACTACACTGTTTTTGTCTCTTCCATAAATGTGTGACTCCCATACTGTGAATTTGTGGGCTTGGAACAATGAAAATGGGGTCTGCTTGATTCAGCACAAATTTCAACAGGCCCTGCTGAGTTCAGGGGTGGGGAGTTTTTGGTTTGTTTTTGATGAGGAGCATATAGAATATGATGAGTCTAGCCTACTGCCTTCCCACTCATAGCTGACCTGCCCAGCAGGTAAAGCATCAACCTGCCTGCCTGCCATTAGACATATTGAGGCTCTTCATTGGCCAATTAATTGGTAGTTAAGGCTCTCATTCCATCTCATAAAGCTCTTGTAGCATTGCGGTAGTGTACATACCTCTGACCCACAAAGCCTGGGTCCAAGTCTCACCTGAGGCACAGAAAAGTGGTTCTGAACGTATTGATTAGGGGAAAAGAAAATCTCATTCCATCTCTACCACTCTTCTAGATTTTTCAAGTCCATATTAGTGGCAGCATTCTTTTCTTGCATCATGGACTCTTATCTATACAGTTACCTTTCAAGAGATCCTGGAATTATGGTGGATCACCCAATGCCGAGGTTTAGTTAGGTCATTCAGGGACCCGGAGCCATGTAACCAACAATACCTTTTTGCTTTAGTTTCTGCCTTATGAAAAGTCCTCCTTTGCCTTGTTCCAGTGTGGGAGCTGGTCTGTCCACACTGAGTGCACTATTAAATTCACAACATATTGACCTCTCCTTGATTCCATAAGAAGGTCAACTCGACTCCTCCAGCTGCTCTCCCTCACTCTCGTCACCTGCTGGAGGTTTTGTTACACATGGTACTAACTACCAGCAAAAAAATGGGAACTGCCAGAAATGGGGGCAAGCAAGCTCGCTCTGGTTCACCATTTCTAAAGGCCTCAAACTGGCCCAACTCCATGAAAATCTGGCCCCATGTAAATATTGAATGACAAGGTGTGGCAAATGGATAAGGTATAAAAAGGAGCTTAGGGTACCCTGCGTTTGTAAATACAGGAAAAGAACATAACAGCAAATAAATCATGCTAGAACTTTATAAATCACTAATTGGGTTCTCACCTGAATATTGTGGATAATTTTGGGCAGTTTATTTGCAAAGTCTACAGTCTGGGTTAACCAGATACTCCTAGAGATGAGGGACTTCAGTTATGAAGAGAGATATGAAAAGTTTGGACTGTTCTCCCTGACATACAAAAAACTAAAAGGTAATTTTTCAAGACGATGATAAATCTTCACATAGTAAATAGAAAAAAATCCCATTTTCTCTACCTATGTACCCAACAGTCTTATATTTAAAATAATTGCCAAAAAAGTCAAGAGGTGAAATGAGGACAAATTTCTTTTTTGTTTCTTTATATAGAGTGTTATCAATTTCTGGAATGTTCTACATGAACTGCTGACAGAATCTGTTTCCATAAGTCATTTTCTAAAGGAAACGGGATGATTCTTGAAGATGTGGTAACGACATCATTATAGACAAAACACAGGGATGTGAGACTAAGCATGAATGGTCTTTATGAGAATCAGCATGCAATAGGCTAAACAACTTCTGTCAATGTTTTATATCTCTATAGGCTGAGCCTTAAAGCCCTGAAATAGCTATGCTGGGGTTAATGCTTGGAGACAGGGGACAGTCCTCATCAAG